GTAGGGGTGCAGCCCAGGAGGGCAGGACAGCTTGGCCCCCACTGGCCAGGGTCATGTGTGATGCTTATTCATATGGCCTGTTTTCTCTGTTGGGGCTGGAGGCCAGTGAGTCTCCCTGGCTGGGGTGGGGACAGCTCAGGATGCCATGCTCAGCTCACAACAGGGGTCAATCGTCTGGGGTTCCCTGCTCTGATCATGGCCCTTATGGGGAGAGCGCACCTCCAGAGGGGCATGAAAACAGAAGTCTACTTCCCCAGAAGCCTTGTCTTCCAGCTACTGGGACAAGCCAGATGGTGGTTTTGGATGCAGTTGTGTGGGCCCGTGGGGGTGGGGGTGAAGGCAGCAGCAGAGGGCCCAGCGGACCAGCCAGGATGGGGGGCGGGGGTCGAGTGTGATTAGGGAGCGCCCCCCCACAGGCATCCTAGAGCCTTGGCACCCCTGCTGCTGAGCCAGCAGATTGCTTTGTGTACAAATCACCTCCTTTTCTCCTTTTTCTTTTGTTCCCATCCCCCCACCTCCCTTCATTTCTAAATTCTTCCCAAACCACGCAGCCTTTGGGCTGTCAGAAGGAAGGGTCTACGGGTGGGTGGGCGGAAGGCGCCTGGTCTTGGGTGGGAGCCACAGGAGAGGAGGTGGGAGAGGTTCCAGGGCAGGAGTGGGGAGGGAAGTGAGTCTGGGAGGGAGGGGAGCGATTTTGGTGTCCCCCCCACATGCTGGAACCCCACCCTGTGTGCTTCTGGATGGGTGAGCTCTGTGGGAAGGGGGTGGTGCAGGGACTGGACAGGGTGGGAGAGACAGGCTTGGGAAAGGTGTGGCCCAGGAAGAAGGGGTGTTGTCCCCACTTGGCCCCTGGGAGTAAAGGATTCTGACAGGGGTGGTGGGGTTGGGGAATGTCTTTGTCATGGAGGGAGACTGTGTGTGTTTGTGGGTGTACCCGGGTGTCCATGCATGATCACGTGCGTGTGTGTTTGCACAGGCCCGGCATTGCTGTGGTGTGCACAGCTGGGTGATGTGTGTGTGTGTCCTCCTGGGCCCACACCTGTGCACACAGCTGTGAGGAGGGAAGCATATCGCTGCCCCCAGATTGCCTAACCTGGTCCCAGCTGGGGCCCCAGTCTCTCTCCTGGCAGATGCCTGACCCAAACATCTGGCCACATCTGCCCATAAAGAAGGGAGTCCTGGAGCTCCCATCGGATCTAGAAGGGCCCAGCCCTCCCCCTCAGTATACCGGTGTCTGGCAGAGGCCTGTCACCCAGGGTGACCAACTCGGCTTAGTGTGCTGAGGACTTTCTTGGTCTAAGCATGTAAGTCCCCTGTCCCAGGAAGCCCCTCAGCCCCAGGCAAATGAGCATGGTTGGTCATCTGCCAGGGACAATGTTTCTCTTTCCACTGCGTCCTTCCTATTGTTACCCCCATCTTAGTCTGCCCCCCACTCAGTCTCCACCTGCAGCCCCCGAACTTTCCCCCTCCTTTCTGTCCAGCGCCCCCTTCTTCCTGCCTCCTCACTGTTCCCAGGGAGCTCTTGAATCTCACTGTCCCTCCCTCCCTGTGTCAGGCGTCTCTAGCTCTCCTGTCTGTCTCTGGGTCTCTCTCCTCTCCTGTCCACAGGATTGTCGCCTTGTTGGGGTCTGTCTCTCTGTTCTCTACCCGTTTCCCTGTCTCCCCTCTCTGTCTCTGGTATCTTGCCCACTCTGTCGCCCTCATCCTGTCCCAGGGTCTCTGGCTCACCACCTTCCCTGGGTGGTCCAGGCCTTCCCCCCCCCCACCCCACCCCCGACTCCGACACTCATCCCCAGGGCTGGCTGGGGTGGGAGCCAGGTCTGGGGGCTGTGACTGGCCAGGAAGGGGAACCCAAGCAGACATGATATTTATGTTAGGACTTCAAAGTGGAGCAGAGCCTGAGGCGGTGATGGTGGGGGGTGGGAGGATGGCAAGCAAAAGCCAGACTAAGGTCAGCTCAGGCCCCTCCTTGGGGAAGGTCTCCTTGGTGACACATACCTCCCTCATGGGACACTGAGACCCAGAGTAGGGACAGAACAGGCTATTTTGGTGCAGAGTTCCAAGAAAGGCACTTCCTGTGCCTTCGTTTTTTGTTCTGCCCCCAGCCCCATCCTTTCTTCCTGTCACCCTGCAGGAGAAACTGGGTCCTCTGAGCATTAGCTGGGCCTAGGAGGCAGGAGGCTCAGGGGGTGGCAGGAGCAGAGGGCTCCATCTCAACAGGAAAACATCCCTGCGCTAGGACAGCCCTGCGTCCTCCGCTTTCTGGCAGAAGCCTTGCCTGGCAGGGCAGCGAGGGTCTGTAACCCTGTTGGCCTGACAGGACCAGGCAGGTCCAGCCCTCAGGGCCTCTGGTGTTCATTCGGGCTGCCTGCCTGAGGGCCCGAGGGACCAAGAAGGCTGTGAAGGTCACCCCACCCCTGACCCCACCCTTGGCCTAAACCCTGCTAAAGACACTCAGCTGCTGGGACTAGGAAGGCGTGGGGTCAGGGGCCCAGGTCCTGGGCAGGAGGGGCCGATTGTCTCATCCTGGGGCTCTGCTCTGTGTCCTAAGCCTCTCCCAGGAGCCAGGCCCAGCAGATACCCCTTCAGGCTGGGTTGCCCCCTCAGGCTGCCCCCCCCCTCCCTAGAGGCTTGCTCTGGACCCAAGACCCTGTGGTCTGAAGCTCATCCAGGCCCCCAAAGCCCCAGCCCCTGGGCCAGTGCCCCCCCACCCCTGATTCTCCCCAGGCGCGTCCGTGAATCACTCAGGCTGGAATCTGATGAGCTCAGACCTCCCCACCCAGCACTGCCGGCTTCTGCCTCCTGCCTGGCCAGTGGGGTCACCACATCCCCCATCAGGGGCTTTTCAGCAGCTCTCAGACCTTACCAAGGCCTGCCACGGGCTGGGGGTGGGGGCTGAATGGTGGCAGGGGTAGACCAGGGCTGGGAGTGAGATGAGTCAGGACTCGGATGTCTTCTGCATGATCAAAAGCATACAAAGTATGTGTGTATATGTCTCTGAGTTTGTGCATGTCTCTGTGTCTGTGTGTTTGTGTCTCTGAGTTTACGTGTGTGTGTGTGTGTGTGTGTGTGTCTGCATTTCCCATACGTGTGCAGGGTGGGAAGGAGGAAGCCTGTGTGCCTTGTCTGAGGGGGGACTTGAGTGTGTCAGTGGCAGTCCCGCATGGGTAGGTGTACGTGTCAGGAGGTTCCTGTGTAGCAGGCCACCACATGTCTCTGTGTCAACCTGTACCTGTGTGTGTCAGGGAGTCACATCCTGAACCCGAGAGGGAGGGTGTTGAGGGAATATCTCCGAGTTTGCAGATCTAGGATGTTTGTGTCAGGGTGTGGATCAGAGGAGGGGCTTATGTGTGTCACTGTCCCATATCACAGGGCACAAATGGTTAACTGTCCGAGTATTCCTAACACTGTTCCTGTTAAGGTTGGGGGTGCCTAGGTTTTACCATACATGATTGTGGCAGGGAGGTTACACGCTCTGCAAACATGAGTCAGGGTGTTTCTGTATGTCAAACTGTGGATGTGAACACAGGCCACAAAGCTATGGCAGCATGTTAAATGCTCTGTGTTGAAGGTGGGTCAGGGTGTTGTTGTGAATCTCAATGATTGCCTTCTTGCCCACCCTTCACGGGGGTTTCCACTCAGGCCAGCCCATAGGCCCTGATTCCTGGGTCTGCCTGGCCAGTAAAGTCCCGGGTGGTAGGCGGCCCCTTCCTCAGTCTTTTCTCGACCTCTGCTCTCAGGATCCCTGTTGGAAGGACGATCCCCAGGCCTCATTGCAGGGCTGCTTCCTTCCTGGCACCAGGCTGGGCAGCAGTCTTCTCAGCGCCCAGGGTCCCTGGGCCGCCACAGGTGAGAAGGGGGCCTGGCTTGTGACTAAGAATGGGCATGCTCGCCCCCTGGCGGCAGCGATGGAGATGGAGCGTGCACTGCCCGCGCCCCAGGGTTTCGCAGGAACTGTTTAGGCTGTCTTCCCGAATCAATCACTCCACATGTATTTACTAAGTGCCAATTCCGGGCCAGGCATTGTTCTAGGCCCCTGAGATTTAGTGGGGCACAAGGCCAACTTGGCTCTGGCCTGCTGATGGGGAAGACAGACAATAAACAAACCCACACATGGAACTATGGTGACTCTAGAGGTGATAAGTGCAGCATTTCCAAGTGAGGAAATGACTTGGTGCTCCTCGAGATTCAAATGTCAGGGTTCCAGTGCTGCCCTGCAGCAGAGGACAAGGGGCAAGTCCTGGCGCCTCTCAGAGCCTTGACTTCCTCTTCCAGAGGCCAAAGGTGGGAGGCTGGGATGGGGGAGGGAGCAGTACAGAATTTGAGCATAGAGGGCTCCTCAGTTACTGTCCAAATCACATCTGTTTCCCTCTGGCCAGGGCTGTGGGTACTTGGTCCATATGGATACTCGATAGGTTACTGCTGAGTGGCCAAGTAAATAGTCCTTCTGCTTTGGAGGACCACAGAATCAGCTCTACAGAACCTGGCATCTGAGCCCTTTGCCCTGTAACGAGCCACTTTCCCTGAGCAAGTCTGTTTCCTCACCTGTAAAATGGAGATAATGAGACCAGCCTTAGACGGGCCTATCATTGCCTGTCCTGCCTGGGGCCCCAACCCCTGTATCTCGACGCTTGGTCATGCTGATTTACCTGGCCTGGACAATCAGAATTTCTTGAGAAGATAAACCAAAAGACTCAGACAGCAGGCAGTGTTTGGCCTGTTGGGCCACTGCTGGGGGCATGCTGAATTCTCAGAGCCCAGAATTAGGACTCAGCACGGGAAGGCAGTGGGAGGCACTTGCAGAGGCCCCCAAGACAGGGGCCCAGAAGCCTCGGCCTTGAGACCTGCTCCTGGCTTCTCTGAGCACCCCCTGCAACCATTCCAGGTCCTTCCTCTGAGACTGAACTTGAAACATCCTGTTTGGTTCCCAGAACCCAGCCCTCCCTTAACCTCCCTCCTTCCCACCTCACTGTCCTTCACTTTTAGTTATCAAACTCCAATCAGTGGACAGCATTTATTGAGCTCCTGTGGAGTGCCCAGCACGGTGCAAGGCACTGTGTTAGGGAGGACATACAAAAAAGCAAAGGGGAGACTCCCTCCCAGCGAGAAGCTGGGTGAGGGGAGTGGGGAGGGGAACGCTGCCGGTGGCCTAGTGAGAAACTTGGGAGTCCTGCACCTGGGCTGCTTTAGGTTTATCTGAAATCCCAACGTCCAGGATTTCCACTTTCCAGGTGTCAGGTCTGTCTGACATGTGGGCTGATGTCCCTTGGTGCACAGCGACTGGGGGACCACCTGGGAGACTGGCTGGGGTCCTCCTTCCACCAGGGACAGTTTCTGTCCAGGGAGTGGTCCCTGCAAGGCTGGCCTCACCCAGACCCGACTTCAACGTTGCTGAGGGCCAGCAGCCTCAGCCCCTGCTGTGTCCCAAGGTTGCCTAGCGGCAGCGAGAGTGCAAAGCCCGTGAGACCACCGACCGATGTTGCTGAGCCCTGGAGCCGCCCTTGCCCCTCTGAGTCGCCCCTCCGCAGCTTCCTGGGCGACGCGCACCCCCTTGTGGTCGTTGCAGGCATTTTCTTTGCTCAGATTTGCTGCCTGCTCTGCTGGTATTGGGGGTTAATTAGTGGCTTAGAATAGGGGCCTAGTTGGAATTTGATGCTCTGGTTTGGGTGGGGGAACCCCTAATGGCTGTGTGATATCTTAGGGTCACTTTCCAGAACCTCAGTGGGTAATAAGCATGACCGCCCATAAAGCTCTTGTGAAATCCACAAGAGCTAAGTGCAGAGAAAATGGTTTCCATTTTTGAAGCCTGGCTCCCTGTTTAATTCCTCTGGGAGGACTTCCCATCTTGGAAAGACTGGAACTTGGGCACTCCTCTGGCTGGACCTGACCTTCAGGATCTCCCCTGGGCTGACTGGAGGACATCGCCCTTTGGCAAGTGCAGAGAACCACCCTTGGGGGTGGGGGTGGGGGTGGGGGAGGACGCAACGCTAACATCCCACCTCCTTCCCTCCCCTTCCCCCAGTCTGAGCTCTACTTTGCAGCAAAACATTCCATTTTCAACCCTGGAAGGCTTCTGGGAAAAGGCAGCGTGGCACTGCACCCCCCCTTTACAGGTGAGGGCACTGAGGTTTGGAGGTGCTAGCCCTCCAGGCGGTATGGAGCAGGACTGGGCCCTGAGCCCTTACTGCCTCCCTGAATTCTCCAGACACCCAGGAGTGGGTGGAGCCTTTCAGGGCCTTGAAGCCTCCAGTGGAGGGGCTACCTGGGCAGTGGCCCTGCCCTAGGCTGTGCCCCTCCCCTGTGCCAGAGTTTGGGCACGCTCACCATCACAGGGCAGCTGGCCTCCAGCTGGGGGAGAAGGATGAGAGGCAAAGAGCCTTGGGCCTTTGGTCTGGTGTCCCCCAAGCCCCCTCCACTTCACACTAATGCCCCGGATGTGGCCAGTCCAGGCACCCCCCAGCAGGTATGGTCATAGAGATAAATGTCAGACAGAGGTGGCGGCAGCCACAGGAGCAGCCAGGGGTGGGGAAGGCTAAGGGGGTCGTGGCCTTGGTCAGTGGGCTGATGGCTGTGAACGGCCTTCCCCGCAGGCTCAGAATGTTCTGCCCAAATGACCCTTCTGGCCACTTCCAGCTACTCCTCAGTGCCCCGGCTTCCCTCAGCCTCTGGCTCCTCTGGCTGAGCAGGGCATCCCCTGGCGTGGCTCTTGTCCCGCTCAGCAATTGTCTCAGGCTCTCCTCTGCTGTCCTTGAGGCTGGCTTTGACCTTGATGTCCCCATCTCCCCAGCCCCCTTTCTCCTCCTCCCCGCCCTCTGCCTCTGGCTCCCTGCTGTCCTTCTCTGTTGTGGCCTGGGGAGAGGCCCCCGGTGTCTCAGGCCAGTCTGCCTTGCGGTAGACCAGGTAGCCGGTTGTGGGAAGCCCATGGGCCAGGGCTCCAGGGGGCAGGCGGTGGTAGCCCTGCTCCTTGTACAGGAAGAGGCCGAAAGTGTCAGGCTGGGTCACTCGGAACTTGGTGGCACAGAGCTGGTTTAGGGTGGCAATCGAGGCCCCTGGGGGAATGGCCAAGGTCTTGGAGGTGCAGCCACTGCTGGGGTCCTGATAGGCTACTCGGAGGAGGTGCTGTGCAGGAGAAGCAAAAACAAGAACTCAGCCCTGCCTGTTACGTATCTGGCTGCAAAGCTCGAGGTTCCAGTTTAGGCTCTGCAGAGACAGGGGCAGCTGGTACAAATCCAGTGGTAGAACCAACTGGAAAAAGCTTTTTGGACAAGGTGAGTTCCAAGGGGTCCCTGAGGAAAGGAGAGATGTGCTTGGGCTAAGGGGTCCCACTGCAGGCTGGAAGGCTGGCCCCAGCCGGCCCATGCAGCCTAATCCTTGCTGTCCTGTATTAACTCTGTGCCCTAAGTGCTGTCCTGTATTAACTCATTTAATCCTCATATCAACCCCAGGAGGTAGGTACTATTACCCCATTTTACAGATGAGAGAACCGAGGCACAAAGAGGTTACCTAATGTGCCCAAGTTCCCACAACCAGAAAGTAGCAGAGCCAGGATTTGACCCAGTAGCTCAGAAGGGTCCCTTAGCCGGGTGGAGAAGGGCAGGGGTGGCATCTGGTCTGAGAACACCAGGCCTGAGCCCAGGCAGGAGGGTGAGGGGGGCACGGGCTGGAAGGCTGAGTCCTGGGTAGGGCAGAGCCCCAGCTGGGGGCCTGCTCCACGTCCCTTTCCTTCTCCATGTCACAGTTTCCTTATCTGTGAAATGGGGATAACGATGGCCCTATTTCAGAGTTCCTGTGAAAACTCAGGGCTGAGCCCCTAGAGCACTGGGCACACATGGAGTGTCCTTGCTCTGGAAAGGTGGGCTTTGACGTTTTCTTCTGCAGGGGGCACTGTTTCTATTGCAGGTGGCACAGGACCTGCCTTTCCCCTGCTGGGCCTCACAGCTTGGGGTGGATGGTGTAGAGGTCCTGTTACCTGGCAGCTGTGGGTGGCGGGCAGGCAGCGCTGCTCCCAGAGGCTGAGGGAGCGCTGCAGCTCCTGTGAGGGACTCAGGGGGAGGGCCTGGGCCTGACCCAGGCCACTCAACAGGGCCAGGCTGGCTGAGAGGCTGGTCAGGTAGTAGCCCCCTAGAATACAAGGGGAAGAATGCAGCTCAGGCTGGGGGTGGGTGATCTGTTACCTTTCTCTTTCCCTGTTTACTTGGGGCCATGCAAGCACTAAGGTGCCCAGCCCCACCCAGGCAAGGAGGTGGCATGTGTGTGGGGGTCCCTCACCCTCTCCGGTGAGCAGGGTAGGCTCCAGCAGCTCTGACATGTACTCGGCCTCCAGCAGCAGCTCGGGAAGGTCACATTGGGCTAGGGCCAGGCTCAGTAGCGGGAGAAACTCGTCGGCCCCCGCGCCCTCTCCTGTGGGGTGGTAGACAAAGAAGCTTCAGGCTCCTGGGGGCCTCAGCGTCAGAGTCCACTCCTTGTCTTAGACAGCAACCCTCTCCTCCAGCTGCCAGGCCTTGGGCAATATGGTCTCTATGGCAACCACAAGCAGGGGCTGACAGGAGGATGCTCTTCAGTCTGGGCCTCAGTGTCACCATCTGTGGGATGGGAGGGTTGGACTCATCTTTTCCCCTGTTGGGCCTTTCCTGGACTCTGCCTGGGGGGGCCAGCCTCTGAGGGTAGGGAGCAGCGGGCGGGGACGTACCCCAGTGGGTCCTCAGGGCTGCATAGAGCAGCTTGCAGGCCTGCAGGAGCCGCTTGACCTGGGCGCTGGGTGAGTAGGCGTGAAGCAGCTGTAGCAGTTTCTGGCGCACTGGCTCCATCTCTACCAGGGAGGGCAGACTCCAGTGGGACCCGAAGGCTCCAGGACCTTGGGCCCGGGCCAGGCGGAGGCCTTCAGCCAGACGGCCCAGGGAGCCATCGGCGGAAAGACGGCACCTCAGGCGGGCCACCAGGATGGGCCGGAGAGGCTTGAGTACCGAGCGATGCAGTGACTTTTCCAAGACGTGTTCTGCGGGGCAGAAGCAGGCAGAGGTCAGGGGAAGGGAAGTTGGGGGGGGCATTCAGGGGAAGGTGGGGGCACGGCAGAATCCCAGGGAGAAAGGGCATAGCCAGGGAGAGATAGGGATGAAAGGGGGGAGGAATCTTGGTGAGACAGGAGTGGGGGGAGATTGGTGGTGAGACAAGACGCAGGCTGGCACTGTGGACAGGAGGAGAGAATGGGGTGGGTGAGAGGAGCTGAGATTATGAAGAGACGGCTGAACCAGCGGAGGCAGGGCTGGCGTCTCACCCAGCCTATTGGGCGGCAGCAGCTTCTCAGGGCCTAGCTCCATGCTCAGCATGGCCCGGGCCCGGCTCAGAGCCTCACGGACACCCTGCAGCTCCTGGGGCTCGGGGCCGGCCCGCACCTGGGTCAGTAGGTCCTGCACTAGCTGGCCCACGGCCGTGTGGCGGTCCTGCATTAGCGCAGCGGCTGCCCGGCCCACCTGCCGCTCGGGCGCCAGCAGGGAACAGAAGGCAGCACTCATGGACCGGAGCAAAGGCCGCCTCCGGCGGCCCAGGCGGGGCGAGGTGGCTGGACTCCCCTGGGGCCTGTGCAGCCCCTCTTCCTCTGAGCTGCTGGGGGAGCCACAGTCTACCTCCTGGAGGGAGGGCAGGTGCAGGAGGCTGGGGCCAGCGCCCCCTGGCACACGGTACCCCACCGAGCTCTCCCTCCGTAGCAGCTGACGAGGGGGCAACTTTTCTGTCTGGTTGGGGGCTGCCCCTGGCAGCACGGGGACTGGGGGAGGAGGCACGGCAGGGGGAGACAGAGGGCTGGAGGTCTCTGTGGACACGCGCACTTTGAAACTCCTTTTGAACTTCTCCCGCCTGGTGGGGCCCAGGTCGCCAGGGAACAGGGGGTTGAAGAAGCACAGGGCGGCGCCGGTGCCCTGGTCCAGCTCCTGTGGGGACCGGGGCTTCAGCCGGGGCAGCAGCGGGCCTTCAGTTGGGCCCGGCGGAGCCTTGGTGTTGAGGGAGGAGCTCCAAAACTCTGGAGAAGAGAAACCAAATGGGGCCTCAGGGAGATGGGGGGGGGGAGGGGGGCGCCCAACTCAAGGCAAGGCACAGGGAAGACCATGCCCAAGTCCCTTCCTTTTCCTCCTTGGCCTCAGGAGAGCCCTTACCAACACCCAGATGGGAGATGGCTTCCAGCTCCTTATGGGTGGCTGCCTGGCGGATGGCTCTGGGGAGCTGCAGCTGGAGGAGAAGGATGTCCCTGACACCAGAGAGGGGACAGAAAGTCAGGAGTGAGGGATGCTTGGGGCTGAGAGGGGCTGCAGGGGCAAGGGAGGACAGGGAGTGGACACCAGGCGCCCGCGGGCAGGCTCACCGGGTGTGGCAGTAGGAGCAGATGAGCTGGACCAGGTCCGGGAAGACAAGCTCAGATCCCTCCAAGGAGACTCCTGAGAGATGGGAAGTGAAGTCGTTCTCTGGGGAATCCCGCTGCGCCCTGCCCTGACTGCTTCCAGCCCCTTCCCTCCAGGCTAGTCCCTCTCACCCCCAGGGCTTTCCTGGATATAGTGGCTGGAGACGAAGGAGGGGCCGCTGGCCTCAGGCAGCCGCACGCACAGAGCTTGGCACTGGCGAGTGTTAGACCTCCGCACCAGGAATGTCTGCGAATGGACAGGGTCAGGGTCAGAGGCTCAGGTCCGCCCCGCTCCCTCCCACCCTCCGATGGCCAGTCCAGTGGGTAGGGGCAAGACTCACCCCAGGGGGCTCCGTCCTCAGCACGTGCAGTGCAGCCGCGGCGTTGGCCCGCAGCTGCAGCCACACAGGCCGTGTGAGCAGCAGGCGCTCCCGCAGGCTCACAGTGCGTCCCGGCCGCTGGGGCCCACCTGCCTGCCCCCCGCTGGCGTCGGGCACATCGTATAGCGGGTCCTGGGCTGGCCTTGGGGCAGGCACCAGCCTGAGCAGGGACCCAGGGGCTGGGACCCTTGCCCAGCCGTTTCCCCCGCCTCTGCCCCAGGATACACCCTGCTCGGCAGTCCCTCCCTTCCCCAGCGGGCTGCCCTTCCAACTTCACTAACTTTTCTCTCTCCAGGTGCCCAGGTGCAAAGTTGGATGGGCTGGGGGCTCCGAGAGGGCCTGCTCCTGGCTCCCCAGGGGTTTCCATGGCGGGGCGCTCCTTCGGTTTCTCCTGGGACTCAGAAAGACAAGCCCGCCCCCAAGGCAAGAGCACTCACATTCCCGATGGTGAGTAACACTTCCTGAGGGCGGCACACCCTGTCACGCCCGCCAGTTAACTCTTGTGTGCCACTCAGCCTGGGCAGTGCCTGCCTCATCTCTGTCCTGGCCCCAGCCTTGTGGGGCAGGCATCTATCCATGCAAGTACCACTCTGAGAACCCCAGCTGTGGGGCTGCTGCCACCACCTCCACAGAGATCTTCCCACAGCCTTGCCAGTCACCTCAAGCCACACAGGTGGGAGGGAAGGAAGGGGTTAAACAGGGCCGACTCCTCCCCACAGGCCCAAGCCTCACCCCTGGGGCACCTTTAAGCCCAGTGGTCAACTACTCAACTGCCCAGGCCTTGGAGGTCAGCTTTGTGAGAGCATGCCCCCTACTGGTCACAGATGACTCATTCCTAAACCTAACTTGGATTTGGGGATTTCAGGTTGCCATGGAGAAAGGATGCTGTGTCTCCATGGAAACTAACCCCTTTGCTTAACTGAGGTTCTGGGGGTGGTTCTAACACTCAGCACTAAATGGGGGGGGAGTCTGGTTGTGAGGTGTCAGCACATGGCACTGCTGCCGGCTGCCTCCCACACACACAGGCCCTGCCAGCCTGCCTTGCCAATCTGCCAAGCGACTGGGGCAGGTGCAGACATGACCCCATCTCCAAGCACTGAGCACCCAGCCCCCTTGCCCATCTGAGGCCATGTGTTTTGCCTGTGCCACGTTGCTTCAGACCTTGTTCACCAGCAGTGGTAGTCCAGGGCCCAGCCCCCACCTCTGGGGGTGGGTGATAGGAGAGCCCCCGCCTTCCCCAGCATATACCCTAAGTCAGACTGGGTAGGCCCCTGCTGGGGAATAAGGGGAGGTACCAGAGATCCCAGAAAAGACTGCTTGTCTCAGGCACTCCCCATGGGAGGAGCCCTGATTCCCTTGCAAGGTAAATCAGACACATGTGGGTCATGCTAGAGTCCCAGGAAAGGTTTTAATTCCAGTCCCCACAATCTGGGAGGCAGGCACCAAGGACCATCTTGAGAAGATCTGGGGAACCTGCCTTCTCACCACCGGCAACAGCCAGGACAGACAGGCCTCCAAAATGTAATTTCTGGCTCAGAGTTCCCATGAAGCAAGGGCTCGGTGATGGGGGGGGGGCCAGTCCAAGGTCAGCAGGAAGGATGTGCTTTGGCTTAAGACAAGGCATGTCTTCTTTGTCAGGGAGGGGACCAAGGAGGCTGACCTTCAGGAGGGGGAGGTAGGGGGCAGGTCTGGGATGGAGGAGACAGTCTTGCCTGGCTGGGGTGGCCCACAGATGGCCAGGCCCCAGGGAGGGGCAGAGGAGGAGTCCAGACCAGTGTTGGCTGGAGGGGAGGGCCCAGCAGCAGCACTGGAGGGCTGGCCGGGCAGACCCGCGGGGCTTGTCAGTCTGCCTTTCTGCAGCAGAAAACGCAAATCCTGGGTTTGGTGCCAGTTGCTCCGAGGGGCCCCTCGGCTGTGAACAGCAGGGTCATGGTCCTGGGGGTATGTGGGAAGGGGAAAATCATTGCAGGCGAGAAGCTGAAACAAGGGGGAGGCAGCTGCTTCATATGGGAGACTGAGTGGCCCTGGTGTGGCCCAGGACAGCCCCACAGCCCTCATCTGTGAGCCCATCCCCACTCTGGGCCCACGAGGACCCCCCAGCTCCTGGGGCTTAGTATTCCAGCCCTCCCTGACCAATCCAGGCAGGAGGCTCCATCTCCTAGACCTTTCAACTTATTGGGCTGTCGGAAAAGTCATGATTTATTTTTTCTGTTTTTCGTTGCAAAAATGCGTCATGACTTTTCCGACAACCCAATAGAACTCCCCACCCACCCTGGTTCCTGCCCCCCAAACTCACACAGTGCCCTCAAACCCAGACTGTCTGAACTCACGGGCCACTGATCTGACATGGCTACTGTCTCTCTCTGGGCTCCTTTCCTGGAGGCTGGGCTGGGGGAGGGCGTGAAGGGGGGTAGCACAACCCCCAATAGTTCTTACCATCTGACTTTCTCTTCTGAGGGGACACGGCTGCCCTAGCCTGGATGGGAGAGAAGAAAAGCGCCCCTGAGAGCCTGCCTCCCACGTGGCAGGTCCCGATCCTCATCAGCCGCTCTGGGGTGAGAGGTGCTGGGTTGGTGCTGCACCAACAGCGGGGTGGGGAGCACAAGACTCTTTCCAAAGCTCTGATGTGGCCTCCTGTCGGAGGCTCAGCCAGCCCAGCTGCTTTCCCACCTTCCCTCCTTCCCTTTCTCCCACCCCATCAACACCTGCCCTGGAACAAGAAAGGGGCTGACACAGACCAGAAGTTCCCTCCTCCAGGGCAGCCCTCGTTAAAAGGAAGCTTGTGAGCTGGCAGCAATGCCAGGAGACCTGGGCTGAGGGCAGTGGGCGCCGAGGGCTGAGCAAAGAGCTCCGCAGGCCCTTGAAAGCCCACGTGGAGAGCCTGCAGAGGCCAAAGCTGGTGTCACAGCGGGCGCTGCACTGCCAAACCCCTTCCCTGAGTCAGGGTGGCGGGAGTGCGCAGCACCAGACCCACCTTTTTGATAGCCGTCCAGTCCTCTAGGATATCAATTTCCTGCAGCATGTACACGATGTAGGGGCCTGCAACAGGGGTCAAGGAAGCAGGAAGCCCAGTGGAGGGGGCGGGAGATGGCCTCGGCCCTGGGAGCTCTCATGCTCACGAGAGGTGGTGCCATGGACCCGGGAGCTCGGGCTCCACCTCCTACCTCTTGGCCCCCAGGTTCTCTGGGGGTGTGTGTGTGTAGCTATGGTCTATTTCACCAAGTCCACCAGGGGCGCAGGGGTGGGGGGCACCAAGCCTCACCCCTACCTCTCCCCCCTTGATTCCCCCTCACCTCCTCTCTCCAGTCTCAAGGTCAGTAGGCCAAGGCCCATTCCACCCGCTCAGGGGCCTTCTATTCTGTCCCCTGAACTGTCCCCTTTCCCCATCTACACACAGACTCAAGTCTCTTCCATCCTGAAAACCACCCTCCTTCAGTCTCACACTCCCCTCTGGGGACCATCCACTCTGCTCTCCTGTGCTCTGCACCTGCTGTCTCCACACCCTCATCTCCCATTCACCCCTCAAGTCCGCGCAGTCCAGATTCCTCCCTCCTTGAACCTGACTCCCATCACCAGGTAGCTGATGCCATGAGACTGGTTCCTGCAGGAATATAGTGGGTGGGGGGACCCGGCTCAGCTCTGTGCTGCTGTGCCAGAGGAAGGAAGACACAGCAGGCCCTGGACTGAAGTGGCTCATGCCTAAGGTGGGGCAGAGGCAAATGCTCCCACACGGAGGTGGGTGCTCCAGTTTAAGCCACAGGGGTGCAGAGGAGAGAGAAGCCATAGCCATTGGAGGAAGACCTGGAAGGGCTTCGCGGAAGAGGTGGCGTCCAACAGGCACAGACAGGCAGAAAGCACTCCGAGAGAGTGGGAAGTGAGCAAAGGCATGGGGGTGTGGGGGACGCCTGGGACATGCCCGTGACACTGTGGGAAAGCCAGAGGGCCTCAGAGATTTCACTCAGGAAGTTATGGGGAGTCACTGAATGGATGTTTCTATTTTTCCATGGTCCACACAGCCCAGGAGGGACCCAGGAACTCACAAACAATTCCTGATAGCTGGATTTGCCTGGACATGGCCACACGAGGCCAAGTGACCATAAATGTGCAAAGTCTGACTCTGTCTTCCGTGTCCCTCCACCCCCTTGCCCAGGTCCGGCGCTGACCTTGCCATCCTGCCCAGCTTAGGCCCTGAGGCGGAAGGATACCAGAAACGAGGGGTGCCTTCTTCCTCTTGCTGGGTGGCAGGGTGTCCCAGGTCTTTGAGCTGCCTCTGGCGTGCAGTTTGTCATCCCACCACTCTGTGACCCCAGACCCAGAGTCAGGATTGGGGTGCTGGTCCTCCCAGGACACCCCCACCCTTGGCGACTGTGTTCCTCACGAAAGCCAAGCCAGCCCTTCCCCGTCAACCACCTCCCAGGACAGCGAAGTGAGCCCTGTGCTTGGGGGCTGGAAGCTGAGTTCAGGTCTCAGCTGCACAGCTGTGTAGCCTGGGAAAGAAGTCACTGGCCTTCTGTAAACCTCGATTTCTTCATTTGTTTAGTGGACAGTGGGATGATGACAATTCCTGTCTCTCCAGGGCCCCATATGATGGTGGCACTAGGAACATGGAGGGGACTGTGGCTATGGTATGTGTGGGAGTGTCAGAATGACACTTCCTGTTCTAGAAAGAGAGCAGGGGCAAAGGAGGGCAGGGAGGCCACCCTTCCTGAGCCCCTACTGTGTGCCAGGCACCGGCTAGGCCCTTTCCATGCCTGGTTTCATTCAGTCTCTACAGCCAGCCTCTTATTGTCCCCTTGTCCAGGCAGGGAAGCGAAAGTCCAGGCAGGGGCTGGGGTGCTGGGGCTGGCACCTCGCCTCACCTGAGCTGATGTCCAGGCTCTGGCGGTCCTCCTCCAGCCTCTGGATCCGCTCCTGCAGCTCCCCCTGCAGGGTGTCATACAGCAGCAGCTTCTCGCTCTGGGAGAGGTGGCAGCAGCTCAAGCAGGAGGGACAGGGGTGGGCCACTTCCGCCCTCCTCCCGCAGGTGCCCATCAGTCACCTCCAAGTGTTGCCTGGCTCCCTGCAGCTCACACTCGTACTTGTTCCTGATCACGTCCAGACAGAAGCCCTTGTAGATCCCTGCGAGGGAGAGAGCGGGATGGGAGGCTCAACTTGGCCAGGGACCCCAGTGCCCAGAAAGGGGGACTGGGGCATGAGCAAGGCAGGGATGAGAGAGCGGGAGAGCGCCATGGGTTGGGAGGGGAACAGGGAGGGGGACTGGGGGCCGCCCAGGCCGCAGGACAGCCTGCAGACCTGCCACCTCAATGCGAATCCTGAGGCTCCGCTGCAGCCCCCCTAGAGGCTCTGTGTATTCGGGTGCTCGCTCAGCCCCTACTTCCTCCAGCCGCACCCGCAGCTGACTCAGTCGTTCCCTGAACAACCTGGAAGGAAAAATGTGCTCGTCCACCAAACACATGCGGGTGCTTGGTCCACGCAGGCCCTGAGTCAGGCCCTCGCTCACTCTTGGCCTCAGGACCCGTGCCCAGCACCAGGCCCATGGTCCCCTCACCCCAGGTGCCTGAGGACCCAGCCCTGGTGTCCCACACTCACTTCTCCTTGAGCTCCGAGAACTGCTTCTCCAGGTCCAGCATCTCATTGAGGCACTCGCTGCGGCGCCGCTCGTAGTCCTCATCGTCCATCTCTGGGACAAGAGGTCAGTCAGGGCCGGCGGAGGAGCGGGAGGGCACTGGTGCGCGTGCGCGCGTAGGGGAGTGGTTCACCTGAGCTCTCCTCCTCCGACTCCGTCTGGCTGCCACTCCGCTCCTCCTCACTCTCTTCTTCCTCCCCATTCATCTCAGCAGCTGAATCACCTTCTGCTTCCATCTCTTCTGTTTCTTTGCTTGGAGGCTGGATTGGCATCTGGACTCTGGAAGGAGTGGAGCCATCACTCAGCACTGCCCACAGCTCCAAGCAGGGAAGTGGTCACTAGGGAAGTCAAACCAAGCCTGGGGCAGTGGGGAAGGGACTGGACTTGCCACACCCTGCGTGGGGAGGGAGCAAATGGCTGTCTGCACATCTCCCAGAAGCCATGGAAGTGCTCACGCTCTTGGACGCTGTTGATGATCCCAATCCTGCAAATACTGGCCAAGGTGATGAGCCATAAGACGGGAAAGGCCAAGGTGGGCTCGCCACCGTCTACGGGGTTGAGCCCAAACTTCTGACTGGGGCTTTCAAGACCCTGCACAGACTAGACTTGAACTACTGGTCCAGCACGTTCACCTCGCCGTCTAATGGCCAATTCTCGAATACATCAGGCACTTCTGAGTCCCCTCGTGCTATTCCTTCTGCCTATAAGGCCTTCCACTTCTTTTCCTGAGAACACTCTACCACCTCTTGTCTTCTCACTGTGCTCTGAGTCCAGTCCCCCCTCCTGTCTCCTCTGCCATCTCATGTCAGCAGTGGTTCTCTCTTCTGTATCTTCAACTCTCCCTCTTGACAGCTCCTTCCCATGAAACGTTAGACATGCTCAGGTATGTTCTGCCATTCAGGAACAGAAACACAAAACCTCACCCTATTCCATGTAACTGCTCCCCGTTTCCACCTCACAGCGACACTTTTCCAGGCCTGTGTACACTTGCTCTTTCTACTGTCACCTCCTACTTGTTCCCATTTGTTTCTGTATCATCACTTTCAGCCACAACTCATCCTGTAGTTAACCGATGACCTCCTTGTGCCTGATGCCAATATTTTACAGTGCTTATTACAGTTGACGCCTCAGCAACACTGAACACCGTTAAGCACTGCTTCCTTTATTCCCTCATCTGTTATTGGAACTCTAATATACGCTAGGTACCATCAGACACTGTGGTAGGTGCTGGTCACAATGGTGACAGACAGATACAGTCTCTGACCTGAAGTTGCTTACAAGTTCCTGGAAGAAAAAGGCAAAGGAGACCATTGCTGTGGTGTGAGAATAGTTGAGAGCGGGACTTATGGGAGAGGCATCTAACTGTGGCCTGGAGTTGCTGCAGCTGAGGACTTGCAGAGGAAGATGGGCAGGCAGATGGGCTGAGCTGGTTGAGGGAGGGAGCATTCCAAGTAGAGTGGGTAACACGTGCAAAAACCCCAAAATGAAAGAAGGGGCAGGGTTGGGGGCACATGGGTTTAAGCCTCAGAGAGAAGTCTGGGCTGCAGAGATCTGGTCAAGGGCACATAGCAAGTTCTTCAGGCCCTGGAAGAGAGTGCAACCAGCAAGGCAGAATGTGTGGAATGAAAAGACATCCATGATGGAAATTCCAGAGTCACCAAAGGGGCAGATGATAAGACCCCCTGCAAAGAAGGAAATTAGCAAGAGATAGAGGAAAAACTCAGAGTCACGTGGAGAGATCATTTCAGAAGGAAAGAGAGGTGACAGTGCCAAATGCTGCCAAGAGATCACCTAAGAGGATAGCTAAATTGTCCTCTCAACAGATAATCTGTCTACTGGGAGTTCTATTTCATTGTGATGTTTTTGCAACTTCTCTGGGCACTTCTTTGTAGTCCTTTAGATTGGAACAGGCCCCACTCCCTCCAGGAAGCCTTATTTGTTTACATCTCCTCTCTATTTGCCCACCCTCATGTCTGTCTTCCCAACTAGTCCCTAAGCCTCACCAGGGCAGGGCTGCACATGCGCCTTATTCACCTAGTACAGTACCGACTCAGGTGATGACTGGGGGACTCGCAAATACAAATTAAACAAACTTTTGGAGGCAGGGACTGGCTTTTACTTCTTGGTAGCCCCAGGACCCTTCAGTGGTAGCAAACCCAAAGTGTTCTGTTAACCTTCTTTGACACCAGTTCGAATTGTGCAAAATAACTGAACTAGAGGACAGTTTAGTCACACTCCTCAATGATTTCACAAATAATCTGAACCCAACCTGAAACCTTCGGTTCTCCAAACCAGCTGCATCTTTCCCATTCTCAAGCCTCAGTTCCTACAGTTCCCAAATTTTGCAATTCCTCTTCATTGTTAAATATATTTACTTTGTAAGATGCAACGTAATAGGGAACAGAAAGGGCGGGGGAAAGGGGGTGGCAGTCACTGCAGCTACCTCTGATTCTACTGAATGAACTCAATAAAATCACAACCTCCCCTCCTTACCCCGGGCCAAAGACAGAATGACCATTGCTACTCCGAGTGTTGTTAAGACTGCAAGGGGTAAGGGACGGAAATGCAATTTTTAAAGCGTTGTACACATGCAATTCATCTTTTCAGAAAGGGTGCATCTCGAAGGCAGGCCTCCACGGAAGGCAGATTCTTCCCCACCCTCGAAGAGGCCAACCCAACCCCTCCGCGGCGCGCCAGGAGCCTCCCGCCCCGCTCCAGCCCCGTATGCGTCCGCGCGGGTAGAGAATTTCTAGCTCTTCCGCGGCCGGTTTGGGGCCCACGGCCCTGCACGCGTCCGGCAGGTTAAATCTCCGCTTCGGCCCTGGAGATTGGGCGGGCTCTGATCCACTCGCCGGAGGTCGAACCAGGCGCCACCGGTAGCGTTACGCACCGCACGGATTGGAGCCTCCGGCCTCACGTCCGAGACTTCCCGACAGGTGTCCGCGGCTGCGGGTGCTGACCGCTGCCCCCGGCTCCCGGAAGCACTGTGCCGGTCCCTCTTAACTGGGAGGTGGGGCCTGTCAGCGCTTCCGCATGCGTCATCAGGGGGCGCCCGTTGGGAAGCTCACAATTGGACAGCTGGGGACCAGGCATGCTGGGATACCGCGGGCCGGTCTCCATAGCAACTAGCCGAACTTCACAGTGGCGCAGTCAGGCCGTTGGAAAAAGACCCTTGTGGTTTCTTTGGTTTACAGCGGGTGCTCCTCCGTCCGCGGGCACCTCCCTTCACCCTCCCCCGGCGTGAAAGGGTTGAACCCGCGACCCCTCCGCCTGCCCAATTCAGGAGAGTAACGGAGCCAGCTGTTGGTGTGAACACTCATTTATTTATTTACACACTGTCATTGTAGGCAAATAACCCAGCCCAACCTATTTTGAGGGTACAGAACCTGCAGACCCTTCCCTTCTCCAGAGGCCCCGAGGGCAGAGGCCTGGGAGAACCAGTAAGTTTAGGCTTCTGCACAAAAGCTAAGAACTAAATTCAACGCCTTTATCTGATTTCTTTCTGAAAAGCCCATTTTGTTAAGTACTCAGACTCTGTCCCATTCATACTTTTTGCTCTCCTACTGCCTACCCACCCAAGATTGTTAATAATAATAACAACAATAACAACAACAATAATACTGTAATAATATTAATACTTCACATTTGTACGAAGCTTACAGAATGTTTTCACATATAGCATCTCATCTGAGCCTCCCAACAGTTCTGAGAGGTAGGTATTCTCACCTCCCTTTTCACAGACGTGGTAACTGAGGCTCAGAGAGGGAACGTGATTTGCTCAAGGCCACACAGCTAGTTAGTGGTAAAGCTAGGACTTGATCCCAGCACCCCATATTCAAGTCCAGTGTTCCAACACCACAGCTACCACTGTAAAGTGGAGTGACATTTCTTACCCCTGTCAGGCCTGAGGGGTGGCCTAAGAAGAGAGGAGGCTGAAACCTCTCAGAGTAGGGCAAGGAAGGGCTCAGCAATGACGGGAGGAGTCGGGATACTTGGCCTTCAACTCCTGTTTGAACTGGCGATAAAGAATCTTATTGTGCTGATTTTCGGCCTCCTTTTGGGGATGGAACTTCAAGGCTTCTTTGAAGCCCTTATGAACCAGGAAACCTTCATTCAGCACCTCGAAATCAAATCCTGCCACGTGCAGCTCACAGGCCTGTGGGGGGAGAGACAGGTCAGCAAAGTGTGATGACATTCCTAGAGCTGAGACTGACATCCCCACTCCTCTGAAGGCATCCTGGATCTTCCACACCCTCCAACCACCTCCTGAACTATGATCCCTTCTGCCTCATTGCCTCCTTTCCACCCAGGGCCACTTATAGCTTCCTGACCCCACCACCCTTCCTGCCCCATTTCCTCTGCCCTCTCCCTTATGGGTACCTGGCTTATGCGATTGAAGCCGTACTGCCGAAAGCGTTCGTCGAAGGTGGGCACCTTGCCTCCAGCCACGTAGAATGGCTCCCAGGGGTCCTGCCAGGGCACCACGTAGGCAGGCCTCAGCAAGGTCTCCTCTGGCAGGTTGACCCAGCGGGAATAGTTGGTGGTTGCCTGGCAGGGAGTGCACAGCCCATAATAGAATGGTCGCACCTCCCCCACCTGGTACAGCTGCAGCAGCTCATTCTTGTTTGTGGGCATGCGGCGGGCTCGGCGGATCTCGAAGGCAGGCACCACTAGCGCTGTGCCCGCCCACTGCTTGCTCTGATCCAGCATTTCCCGCAGGCCTCGCCACAGCCCCTCGCTGGGCACCATGTCTATATCGATTACCAGGGCATAGTTGGCCCCCTCACGAGCCAGATTCCTCAGCAGGTTGTTGGGGTAGGAGACATTGGTGCCCAGCGCGTAATTGATCCCGGGCTGGGCCACCCTGGCTAGCTTGTCGAAGACCTCCTGGCAGGACCGCAGCAGGGCAAACTCCCCCGGCTCCCGGGGGTCGGGCACGGCGGCCTCATAGCGCGAGGGGCACACAAGGTGCATGGCGACCCTAGCGCGCATATCCGGGCAGTGACTGCTCAGTGCGTAGGTCAGCACCGTGGCCAGCTGCGCCTCTTCTTTGGTGGCCGCGAACACCGACACAGATAGTGGGCCCTCCCAGCGCTCCAACAGGCCCGACAGATGCAGCAGGTTGTCCACGCTGGCGTGCGTGGCCAGGATCACATCATTGGGGTCCATGGTGGTCTTCAGTAGGCCCCTATAGACCCGGTAGTCGCCGCTGGCGTCCAGGACGCCTCCGGAGGCCAGCGCGGTGCGGAGCTGCGCCTTGACCTGGTCCACGGACCTCGGGGATGGGGGGAAGAACTCGAAATACTGGTCTTGCTCCTCCTGTCCGTGCATCCCGGACAGCAGCGATAGGTAGAGTAGCTGCAGCATCGCCACCAGCATTAGCGCGGCCAGCAGCAGCTGGTAGAAGGCGCACCGGATGGCGTAGGACATCTGCATGGCTCTCGGGGCTCGGAGCACGCAGCAGGGACTACCAGACCGCAGCTTCTGCCAGCCACCGCAATCCCGGATTTACCGCAGCCTGCCGAGCTCTGCCGAAGCGAGCCGAGGCGAGCCGAGCCCAGTGCGCAGCCCCGTCCGCCCACGCTGGCCTACCGGAGCTCCAGCTCGCCCCCTGCGCGCGAGGAGGATCTACTGCAGTCGCCGCCCGCCGCGCGCGCTTTGCAAACGCTGGGTTAGCTCGCGGCGCCGCTGCGGTGTTCCCAGCCACATGCACACATTCCCTCCCGGTCAATGCGCGACCCCCTGGACCAAGCGCGTCCTGAGACCCCGGCGCGCTCCCCCTCGACTCAGGGAGGGGAAACTGTGGCAGAGCTCGGCTGCAGCTTGGTGAAGGATGGCGCGGGCTCCCGGCAGCAGCGGGAGGAAAGGAACACACAAAGAAAACTTCCTTTATTTCCGCCGTTTTTCCTTCCTTTAGGTCCTGCAAGGGCTGTATTGAAGAATGAGTATTAGGGACCCAGAAAATGTGGAGGAGGTAAGAGATAAGAGAGTGTGGAAAGATGAGCCGTATGTGGGACGAGGTGGCCGAGTGGTTAAGGCGATGGACTGCTAATCCATTGTGCTTTGCACGCGTGGGTTCGAATCCCATCCTCGTCGGTCGCGTTTTACACAGGAGATGGTTAATGATTCTTAATTTTCCACATCCCTCGGGCCTGGAGTACCAGGTTGGGACACCCAAGTCGACACAACCCGGGTCTCTTTGTTCACCGTGCATCTCCTGCCTAATCTCGGTATCTGCACCTCTGGCCAGGGATCAGAGGTGGACCATTTTCTTTCTTCCTAGAAAGAGGGCCCAGGGTTCGGTGGCACCTAGAAGACCAGAAATGGGATTCTGGCCAATGTATTAAGTAGAGAAGCTGCCCCACCCCCCACGCCCCGGTAGCGCCGCCCTCCCTGTAGTGGAACTTCTGGGTGGTGGTGGTGGTTGGTCATTTAAATTATTACTCTATCCAGCCCACTGATTCCCCTCCCCCAGCATTTCTCTCAGGGGGGAGACCTTGTATCCACACATACACACACACAGAAGGTGTTGAATATTCTAACACCAGCCAACTAAACAGAAGGCTACAATAAGTGTGGAATAATTGATCCATAGACTCTAGAGAGGAGAGGCAGGTACTTTGACTGCTAAATCAATCACATGTAATAAGTGTTCGATCGCTGTGAATCTTGGGAAGGTGGACAGACTGGAGAGGGCCTGGAGTGGCCCTCTACTCCACAGGCAGTAGGGAGCCAGGGTTGTTGAGTTGAAGAATGACCAGGAGACCTGTATTATTGCAGCCCTCAGCAATATCCCCTACTGAGCACCTGCTAACACCAGGGGCTGTGTTGGGCACCGGGGATGGAGCCTTGCAGGAGACACAGGTACTGTCCTTGAAGGTTTTTACTGGTGACCTGTGCTGGGAGAGAGGAGAAAGGTATGGGTAGATCTTTTCAGCATAGGTCTTGCAAACTGGAAGCTCGGGAGCCAGATTTGGTGCCATTTGGGTTTTCTTTCACTTGCTCAGTGTTTAAAATAATGATTTAAATCACATGAGTTGTTAACTTTGTTGAATCAGGAGATTTCACATAAAATGCACATTTCCAACTTCTGTTTTAAATTCCGGAAGATCCGGCAATGCCAGGCCTGCATTCCCACAGGGTGACAATTGGCCAGAGCATAAGAGTGGCTCTCCCTTTGCCAACAGTCTTCTCTTTGCGGAAGCCTCAACCCTGTCCCTTCCCTGCCCACCCCAGCCCTTTGAGCATTTGTGTGTCATCTGCCGTACTTACGCAATACTCATTTTCTACCTCTACTGAAGATTTGCTCCAGCATCTGCCCACAACACCCCCCCTCACCTGCTCCAATGCTAGCCACATAGGAGGCATCGGATTCGTGTTTGTTGATTAAGTCAGAGGTTTCTGAAGTGCCCCCAGGGGCCCTGGTCTAAGGGGAGAATGAAAAGTAGTGACTGGGCCTTGGTGAGGTGTCAAGGAAAGTCCCAAGAAGAGGCCAGAGGAAGGCCAAAAGCCTATTATTGTAGGCAGAGAGGCCTGGCCAGGGTGAGGGACTGGCTGTGATGGAGTGGGACCTGAGACATTCAAAGAACAGAGTTAAACACCATTAACAAGGGGTCGGCTTCCCATGCACCTTGTCCTATGCATCTCTTCCATCTGGCTGGTCCTGACTTATAGCCTTTGATAATAATCCTGTAATCCAATAAGTTTCCCTGAGTGCTGTGAGCTGCTCTAGCAAATTAATTGAACCCAAGGAGGGGGTTGCTGGAATCTGGTTTATAGCCAGTCAGCCAGAAGCACAGGTAATGACCTAGACTTGAGATTGGTATCTGGAGTGGAGGCAGTCTTGTAGGACTGAGCCCTTAACTTGAGGAATCTGATTCTATCTCCAGGTAGACAGTGTCAGAATTGAGTCACATTGTAAGGCACTCAGGTGGTCTCCGAGTATTGCTTGGTGTGGGGAGAAAAACCCACAAGACAGAATTGGTGTCAGAATTGTATGTGTAGAAATACAACTGAATTTTGTGTGTTGCCCTTGAATCCTGTAACTGCTGAATTCATTTATTAGTTCTAATAGGTGTGTGTGTGTGTGTGTGTGTGTGTGTGTGTGTGTGTGTGTGTCTTTAGGCTTTTTTGTGTATGTATATATTATATCTGCGAATCTGGGTACTTTTACTTCCTTTCCAGTTTGGGTGCCTTTTATTTTTTTCTTGCCAAATTGCTCTGACCAGAACTTCCAGTGCAAAGGTGAATAGATGAAATGGTAAAAATGTGATTCCTCATCTTGTTCCTATTCTTAGGGGGAAGGCTTTCAGTCTTTCACCATTGAGTATGACATTACTTGTGGATTTTTCATAAATGCCCTCTATCAGGTCGAGAAGGTTCCCATCTCTCCCTTGTTTGTTGAGTGTTTTTGCCTTGACAAGGTGTTGGATTTTGTCAGATGCTTTTTCTGCATCAATTGAGATGATCATGTGGTTTTCCCCTTCATTCTATTAATGTGGTGTATTACATTGATGGATTTGTGTATGTTGAACCACCTTGCATTCTGGAGTAAGTCCCACTTGAACATGGTGTATAATCATTTCATTATGCTGCTGGGTTCAGTTTGCAAGTATTTTGTTGAGGATTTTTGCATCTCTATTCATAAGGGATATTGGGCTGTAGTATTCTTGTGATGTCTTTATTTGGATTTGGCGTTAGGGTAATTAATACTGGTCATATAGAATGAGTTAAGTGTTCCTGCTTCTTGTATTTTTTTTTTTGAAGAGTTGGAGAAGGATTGGTGTTAATTCTTCTTTAAATGATTAGTAGAATTAGGCTGTGAAGTCATCTGGTCCTGGAATTTTCTTTATTTGCTGATTCAACCTTGTTACTTGTTATAGGTATGTTCACATTTCTTATTTCTTCTCGAGTCAGCTTTGGTAATTTGTGTGTTTCTAGAAATTTGTCCATTTCATCTAGGTTTTTCATTTGTTGGAGTACAGTTGTTCATAGTATTCTCTTATAAGCCTTTTTACTTCTGTGCATTCAACAGAACGGCTGGCCCCACTTTCATTTCTGATTTTAGTAATTTTAGAGGCTTTTCTTTCATTTCTGATTTTAATAATTTCAAAGTCTTCTTTCTTTTTTAGTCTAGTTAAAAGTATGTCAACTTTGTTTATTGTTTCAAAGAACCAACTGTTGGTTTCGTTGATTTTCTTTTTTGCTTTTCTATCCTCCATATGTTTGTTGCCACTCTAATCTTTATCATCTCCTTCCTTCTGCTGGATTTGGGTTTAATTTGTTCTTCTTTGTTTTGGTTCCTTAAGGTATAATGTTAGGTTATTGATTTGAGATCCTTCTTCTTTTTTAATGCAGGCATTTATGGCTATAAATTTCCTCTCAGCACTGCTCTCACTGCATCCCATAAATATTAGTATGTTGTGTTTTCATTTTCATTTGTCTCAAAGCATTTTCTAATTTCTCTTTTAACCCATTAGTTGTTTAACAGTATGTTAATTTCCACATATTTGTGAAGTTTCCAGTTTTCTTCTGTTAATAATTTCTAGTTTCATTCTATTTAGATCAGAAAAGATACTTTGTATGGTTGCAATCTTTGAAAATTCATTGCAACTTTGTTTTGTGGCCTAATATATGATCTATCCTAGAGAATGTTCCATATGCACTTGAGAAGGTATATTCTGCTTGTTTTTAGGGGGAAGGTTCTGTGTATGTCTGACCTAGTTGTCTCATAGTGTGTTTACTATGTTTCTTTGTCTATCTTCTGTCTAGTTGTTCTATCCAACTATTATTGAAGTCTCCAACTAGTGTTTATTTCTCCTTCAATTTTGTCCATTTTTGCTTCATATTTTTAGGACGTTGTTGTTAGGGGTGTATATGTTTATAATATATCTTCTGATGAATTTATCCTTTTATGAATATAAAACATCATTCTTTGTCTCTGAAATGATTTTTTACTTAAAATCTGTTTTGTCTGACATTAGTATATCCACCCGATTGTCTTTTGAGTACTACTGTTTGCATGGAATATCTTTTTCCATCCTTGCACTTTCAATCTATTTGTGTTTTGGGCTCTCAAGTAAGTTTCTTATAGACAACATATAGTTGAATCATTTTTCTGATCCATTCTTACAATCTTTTTTTAATTGGAGAGTTTAATCAATTTACAAACCCGGAGGCCTCCCCCTTGTAAAAGGGTGAGCAACTTGAAGGTAAGGACTGGCCTTCAAGTATTTGTCTTTCCAGTGAGTCTACCTCAGTGCCCTCACATACAGCCCTCTCCAAGTGCTTGCTGATGGAAACTGGGAAGTTGGGCCTGCTTGTGGAGCTGTGTCTGGCTGGGGAGGTGACAGTGGGTGGGGGACTAGCATCAGAAGATGGACAGACAGGTGCAGCCCATCAGCCCGAGTATTTTTTCCAACATCAAAAGCCAGCTGAATCCTGATCTAATAGGAAAGTTGGGCTGGGTCTACTGGGAAGGAGGATGGGAAGAAGGAATTCCAGGTTGTGATGTCACAAGGATATCTGAGGGTAAGTGTCCTCTTTCTGGACCCATCCTCCACTGCTCAGCCCAATCTGGCTTGCTCCAGATAACAATGGACCAGCACCATTGCTTTCCCTGGGACTGTAGACTGGCCTGCAAGGGTGAGTTTGGCAGGTCCGGGAAGCTTTTGGGTACAACAGACAATAGTCTCTAAAGGTAGAGAAGGAGAAGGGAGCCCAGGAAGTATTGGGGTCCTGCCCCCACCAGTCCCAGTTACAGGGTACAGCAAGGCCTAATGGTCTACACAAGATACTCCCAGGACTACAACTACCATTTAGTAATTGTCAGTCTGTGTTCTAGCCCTGACCTGTCTGCAGGACTCCAGACTTGGGCAAGTCCCAGTTCCCACTGCTTATAATTAAAAGGGCCTGGCTTGGAATCTAGAACCCTGGGTCAGTGCACGTGCACTTAACTGCTACGTTAATGGCCTCCGTTGAGGCAGCCGCCCTCTTCTTTCCTGTATCCCTCCTCCTCTCTCTAATCCCCTATTTAGGCCTCATCACTAAGGCCCTTCATCTTGTGTCCCCCACCCACTGCTTCATCTCATCTTCTTCCCTTCTCCTCCCTCTCAACCAAGGGACTCCCCCACTTTACCCACTATTAGAAGTCCCCACTGTTTCCTGAATAGTCCATGTCCATCCCTTCCATACTCTCTAGTACATCTGCCTGGGATGCCCCTCTTCCACACTAACCCAGCAAACTCATATTCATCCCTCAAGGCCCAGCGGGGGGAACGCCTCCTCTGGGATGTCTGCCCTGACTTCCCAGTGGGATTAATAGACCTCTTCTGGAGTCTTATAATACACACTTCTTTTTTTTTTTTTTAAATTGGGGAATTAGGGGGATGGGAACAGTGCTGTGGAATTGGGGGAAGGGGAACAGACAAGTTGCTGTCGTTTTGTTCTTCAGTCTAGCTGTGGAGGACGTTGCTTCACTGGCCCAAGTCGGCACCATCATTACGCTCTTCCCGGGCGAGGCACATCAGTTGCTGGCTTCTGGAAGGCCGCTCACTGCGGCTGCTGGCCGCACACGCTGGCTGCTGGCTACACACGGTAGCCCATGGCAACCCACTGCCACAGGGGCTGCAGCCTACACCGTCACCAATGACTCACAGCAGCCCAGCTCCGGGTCGAGCTGTTGTTCAGCATCTTAGCTGAGGAGGGCAGTGTCACTGGCCCTCATCTGTGGGATCCGAACTGGGGCCCTCTGGCGTTCCAAGCCAGTTAACCATCGCGCCACTCGGCCGGCCCAATACACACTTCTTTAAGGTCCTCACAAGCCCCATCACAAGTTACATTCTGCTTCCCATGGCCTTGGGAGCAGGGACACATCCTTTGTTTCTGTCACCAGACCAGCCAGGGCCTGGCACAGTGAATAGTGGTTGAAGGAATGAATCCGCACTTGGGATCTGCCCTGTGGCTTTATTTCAGCTACCAAAGTCATACACACGTTTTGCCGTTTTTTCCTCTTTGATAGCAAAACAGCCTCTGGCTTCTGAGCAAAAGCCCTGTGCAAACTCAGCGCCTGGTATATAATAGCTGTTGAGTTAATGTTCACAGAAGTCAGGAGGGCAAGTGGGCAGAGAGGCCGGTGCCTGTAATGGCAACCCCCCACCCCCCTTGCTTTTCTCTGGGCTGGGCAGTGTAGTACAGGTGAGTGTGAAACAGGCCTTTCCTCCATCCCTCCAGAGGATTGGCCGACTGCCTTTCTGAGGCTCCATTTCTGAGAATGGGGAGCCTGGGGAGGCAAAGGACACCGATGGAGAGGAAGAGCGACAATTGTCCATGCAGCCAGGTGCTCTGCCCAGGAGCACAGGGCTCCTTGCAGGCCAATACCCCTTGGCCATCGCAGGGATACCCACAAATCCCTGCCCTTCTCAAGGCCTCAGTCATCCCATTTGCCAGATGGGCCCAACCATCCCCACCCCACCCAGCTCATCAAAGCCAACAGCACCTTGGAAAGAAAGACTCTGGTGAACTCATTATACAAATAAAGAAGTTGTTATTAGACCCAGGAGCAGGGTCAGAGGGAGAAACAGCAAGAAGGGGGAGTAAGTGCTTAGGGTTCCTGCCTTGAGCCCCTTGAGGAACCGAGAAGCAGGCATTGGGCAGGAAGGGAAGCACCTACAGGGAGGAGGTAGGGGCTGGGTCCGAGCTCTGCCACGGACCGGTTACTTCCCCTTGGGGCTCAGTTTCCTCGCCTGTCCAGAGGGGGAGCACAATCCTTGCCTGACTTCTTCCAAGGGCCTCAATGAGGCTTTCGTGAGACAGCGGGTTTGGAAGAGCTTTGCAAACTGTGAAGCGCAGTGCACGCAGGCAGGCTAACGGCAACCCTGGGACCAGGCCCAGTTGGGATCTGGGGAGTGGAGACTGTAAGTGTTGGCAACGAAAGCACTGTTGGAGGCCCAGAGGGTCCTTTGAGCACCCTCAGATCCCTGACACCGGCTTTTTCTCCCTGCTCCCCTCAACCTCCCCTGACATCCTCTGTCCTGGCGTCCCACAGACTTGATGATGGGGTCGCTGAGGCCTGGGGAGAAGAGCTCCTGCTCTGGGCTGGTCCCCACCCCGACTCTGAACTTGAGGTTGGGGCCACACCAGCTACACCCTTGGCAAGATCCCGCTGGGAGCCTCTGATCCCTGGCAATCAGCAGGTGGGTTTGTTGTGATGAACAAATGCACTCTGGATGGTGAGGAAGGGCCACAGCTCTCGGCCCTCTTTTCCCTGATTGTCACCCTTTCAATGAGGTGTTATGTGTGTCTAGCTAGCCTGTCTCTGTGTGTCAACCTCCATTCCTGGGTGAGTGTTGGAATGACCAGTGGTGAATTCTTCCTTGCAGTATCCCAAGTGACCGCCAGCCCGGGAGGGAGAGAGAAGCACACGCATCCTCCTGGCACCCCCAGATCAAGGGGCCCCAGCCCAGCGGAGGCTTGAGCCGGCTTGCCCTTCCCCTGCGCTGGGTCTCGGCTCTGAAGGAGGCAGCAAGAAGAGAGCTCTGGGAGAACCCTGGAGGGAGCACGTCAGAGTAGCGCCTTGAAGAGGAAGGACAGGGAGGCTCCACAGGACAGCCCCAGGGCCAGGAAGAAGGTCATGAGAGCTCCGGCCACCTCCCTCTCATGTGGTAGCACCCGCCTAGAACACACAGGTGTAGGAGCTCTTAGAAAATGCTAGGTCAGACCTGGACCCAGCCCCAGTGCCCCCTGCCCGCCATACTCTCAGGCCTTCCCCACTGTCCCCCAGACCTGGGCGCCAAGCACATGGTGAGGGACACCAGGTAACCATTGGAAACAGCAAAGACCAGCATGAAAGTGATGAAGTAGGCATCCTGTGGGAAGAGGATGGGCAGCCGGGACCTCTCAGGCACGTGGCACAGCATGAAGAGTGGGATGAACAGGACACGCAGGCAGGCCAGCAGGGGCAGCAGCCGGCTGTCCTGGTCCGGCTGTGGCAGAAGCTGGGGTGAGGGCAGTCCCTGGGAGCATGGACTCTGCTCTAGGGGTACCCAAGATGGACTCATCTCTCACTTCCCCTGACCTACCCTACATGAACTAGTGAGGACCAGCGCTTGGGCCTCTGGAGAGCAAGGGGGCTGGGCCAAGGCCACCCAGCAACCAAGGATGGGCCTGGGGCTAGCCTCCGCCTCTCCTGGTCTCCAGCTTCTTCCTGGCTCTCTCCATGGCAGAGCTGGAAGAGACCTTAGACGGCATCTTCAGTTTCCAAACTCGGTTCCTCCAAACGCCCCTGGGGGTTCCACAGACCCTTCTGGGGCAGATGGGTTGCTGAACTGGATTGGAAGCTGGGGATCAAGCCCCTTCCCGGCTTGGATCAGAGCACCTCCTCTTTGAGGTACTTTATTTGTTGCGTCTCCCTGGAAGATGTCGTTTAAAGCAGCAGCACCTTGGCTCAAAGCAATCCAAACACTAGGAATCTTGTCCCAACTCTCATGCGGTGCAGGCACCGCCACATAACAGTCTCTGAGCACCGAAGGTTGGGCCCTGGGCTAGAGGCAGGGGACACAGGTCAATTGGACATAGCTTCTGCTTTCAGTGAGCTCAAAGTCCAAATCCTGGCTGGCATGCCTCCTGGGGCTGTTCCATTACCAGGCCCACACCTTTCTGTGCTCTTTCACACCCTCTAATTCCCAACTGCTTCCTAAAACCATCAGACCACCGCAGCCCAGGTGTGCTCACCCACAGGAAGTAAGAGGTCAGGCTCCGTCCCAGCCAGTCCATGATATTGAAGAGAAGGAAGCAGCAGATGGGGTTAAAGAACTGACCTGGAAGAGAGAGAGAGGGCTCATCCAGGTTCTGGCTCCCCTCTTCCTGTTCGCTCCTCCATTCCCCTGCCCTGCCTTCTTCTGCTTCCCAACACTCACTCCACTTTCCAGGACTGGTAGAGCTGGTCACCATGGCAGTGATGGCGGGGAAGACAGACAAGGTGACTGTGAAGACCAACACAAGGCACAGCGCCATCAGCCAGATCTGAGAGCCGGAGGCAGGGGTGTGAGCAGGCGGGGCAGATCTGGGGCCCGACACTCAGCCCTGACCCTCCTGTCCAAGCCCTAGCCCAGGAGCAGGACACCTGGAGCCTGGCTCAGTTGTGTCCCTGATCTATGACCCTGTCACCTTAGGGTGGACAAGGTGAGTATACCAAGTCCTCATTCCATTCTAAGAGTCTCTAGGGCAGCGGTTCTCAACCTGTGGGTCGCGACCCCTTTGGGGGTCGAACGACCCTTTCACAGGGGTCGCCTAAGACCATCGGAAAACAAAAAGATACTGACATTACAATTCATAACAGTAGCAAAATTACAGTTATAGGGTAGCAACGAAAATAATTTTATGGTTGGGGGTCACCACAACATGAGGAACTGTATTAAGGGGTCGTGGCATTAGGAAGGTTGAGAACCGCTGCTCTAGGGAGAGCTGGAGAGAGCAGCTCTCTCTTCCCCAGGGATGGTGGTGTGGGTTATATCAAAGCCAAACCTTTTGGAAGACAATGAAAACTGAAGGTTTTCCTGGCTCCTGGGGTTCCTCTCGCTCCAGTTCTGGCTCCTTCTCAGGGTCAAGATCCAGAGTCAGGACTGCCTTCTGGGGGCTGTTAGGAATCCCATTCTTCTCATCTGGAGTGAGAGGGGCAGGCAGGGTCATGCCTGTGACAGGGCGATTCCCAGCTAACACAAGTGACTCCTTCGGCCCAGGGTGCAGGTAAAGAAAATTAACAACAGAAGTATGCTTAGTTACTATTTATTAAGCACATACTTGTACATGTGCCAGGCAGATTAAATACCTTAGATGAGTTATCTCACTGCTATTGTCCTACAGATAAAGAAATAGGAAGGCTCAGAGGGGTTAAATGACTTGCCTAAGGTCACACAGCTTGGATGTTGTGAAGCCAAGATTCAAACTCAGATGCATTTGGATCCAGAACTTGCATGCCTGAAGTCCTGCCTCCCCATTTTATAGAGGAAACCGAGGCCCAAAGGGCAGTAGGAATGACTTTAATCCCACATGATCTGCTTCTGCTCACTCAAGGCTACTAGGGGTGAGGGCTCTAGTTGGGGACACAGAGGAAATGCTTCCCTGGGGAGGTGTCTGTAGCCTCCCCTGGGTCTCCACCTCTCCAGCGGGGTCCGCCGGCTCACCAGACTGGAGGAGCTCAGCTTTGGTGTCCAGCTCCTGATCTTGTGCCTGCGATGATTGCTTGGCCAGGTAGTAGCGGGCAAACTCCTGCAGAAAGAAAGCGTTGGCCCTGCCTGGCTTGGCTGAAGTGTCTGCGTCCCTCCCCCCCCTGTTGGCTTAGAGGCTGGGGTCCCCCGGTGGTGGCTGACTCCTTTGGGCATCAGGGCTGGGCCCAGGTTCCCTCCACCTCCCCTGGCCTCTCTCGAGGCCTCAGACTCTGGGTTATATCTGAAATGCTCTCAAGTGCTGCCTTGAGCTCAATGCCAGGCTCCCCAGGTGGGGCAGGCTAACCAGGTGGGGCAAGCTCACCAGGTGGGGCAGGCTCAGGTAACACATGATGGACATGAGGATGCCCACACAGGGCGTGATGAAGTACCCCAGGGCAGAGGTCTGGACATCCATGCCACCTGTGCAGAAACTCCAGCTGCAGTGGGGAGGTGGCTGGTCCCACTGGCTCCCACAGGGCTAACGGCTCTTGTCCCACTTCTCAGATTCACCCCTGGCCTCTTCCACCCCTCTCACTGACAAATAGGAATCTTGTGCAGGGCCCCAGCCCAGCCCTTCACTTCTCTCTCTTTCCTACGTGCCATTTTTTTGAGTACCTACTATGTGCTCATTATTACTGCATTACAATCTGAAGATGGAGCTATAATAATCATTTAGGTGGGGAAACCGACCCAAGTTAAGTATCTCATCCAATGCCCCCCACTATGGAGCAGTGGAACTGGGATTCGAACCCAAGTCTGTCTGAATCCCAAACCTGTCCCTCCTTCCCTCAACCTGCTACCATGTACCAGTGTGGTCCCCGGAATCCTGCCCCTGGCCCCAAGTTAACCCAGTCTTCACCCAGTCACTCGCTCACTGTAGAATCCCAAAGCCCTGCTCCCTACCCCAAACCCAGTCCCCAGATCCCCATCACCCCATCACTTCTGTCTCCACCCAGAATCCAACTCTTGGCACTCTCCCTGCTCTCCAGCATCTCAGAAGCCACCTTGCCCTCCAGCCACCCAGGTCCACTCACTAGCCATGGACATGAGCATGGCAAGGGCAGCGAAGATCCCTGCCAAGCCCTGGCCGCTGAGGAAGAGGGTGCTGTAGGTGGAAGGCATGGTGCCCAGCTGCCCGAAGAGGCTGCCCTGCAGAACTGCACCGAAGGCTGTGGAAGGACAAGAATGGGCGCTGCCACTCAACTAGGCAGGCCTCAGGGGCTCCCTGGAGGAGGTGTCAGCAGGGTGCTCAGAAGATTCTGGACTAAGTGGGCAGGCATGAGACCCTGCCACTCTGGTGTCACAACCCCCATTCACTCCTCTTCTGAGGCGCATCCATAGGCCTGCAGGGCTAAGGGTTGGGAGGCCAGCTCTTAGGTCACTGGGACCTGGGACAAGTGAATTTTTGTCTCTCTCCGGGCCTCAGTTTCTCATCAGGGATACAGGTAATGCTGTTGCTGTCTTCTCTTTTTGGATATGTTGGGCCCTTTCAGTTACAAAAAAGGGGTTGGGCTGAAGCCCTGGGTGGGCTGGGCAGGGAGGTGGGTAGGGGCAGGGGTGCTCACAGTTGATGAACCAGACAGAGGCCATGGTGATGGCGAAAAAGGGTCCAGGGCTCATGTCCACCTTGACCAGCGCCGCCGTCAGGGCAAACAGCAGCAGGATGACCAGCAGGCTGCCCAGAATCCGCACCGTCTCAGGGATGCTGCTCATAAGGGAGGGCAGAGTGGGCACTGCCTGGGAGCAGGCCGGGCAACGGGAGGTATGGCAAGAGGTTCAGCCCAGGGCTGGACCATGGGGACTGTGGCGAGATGCAGGGGGGAGTGCAGGAAGGATGGCAGGTCTTCCCTGGGTCCAGATGGAGCTGCCTCAGCAGGGGCGGGGCAGGGACACCAGAGGGATAGCCTGGGAGGGAGCCCAAGGGTGGACCTCTCACCACTGGTACAGGAAAGAGTTGAGGAGCGTGAAGATCAGCAGGGGCAGCTGGGACAGCAGCGTCACCCAGTTGTTGAAGTTGAAGGTGTCCGCAGGGCCAGTGTGGTTGGTGCCCAGGGTCCCAGCAGTGCTGTTGGCCTCTGCCAGCCGCCCCTGGAAATACTGCCAGGATGCCAGGGGAGGGGGATACAGGGTCACCCTACAACCTACCCTCAGTAACCCCCCAGCCTTTCCCCCTTCCTGCCCGCCTCCCATGCTTGTGATGGCTTGGTTAATGTCTGTGGGGACTGTCTGTTTGTCCTTGTGCTGTCCCCAGCACCTGGCACACAGTCGGAGCTCAGTGAATGTGCACTGAATTGAATGGCTGAAGTCTGGGACAGAGCCCAAGCCCTGAGAACCCCCAGCTTGGGCTTTTCTCCATCTTCAGGTCACCCTTCCTCTTCAGTGCTCTGGGTCCAGCCCCACCCCCTCTCCTGCAGGGGCTTCTGGGTTCCTGAGTATTTATTGAGCACCTAAGGTGAGCCAGGCTCTGGCCTAGGTGCTGATCAACTGCCTTCTCTCTGGAACACTTAACCTATCCCGCCTCTGCTTAACCTACCCCTCACCCCTGCCCATAGTTCCCTATTGCCTGCAGGGCAAAACCTCAAGGTTTTGGAACAGCATTTGGAGCCCTTCAGAACTAGACCCCGGCCTCCCTTTTGTGCCCCATCTCCTGCTTCGTTCTGCTAAGCTCCAGGCACCCTTTTCTCTGAACAGGTTGACATTCTTCTGCCTCGGTGCCTTTGCAAGGCCTCCATCTCTGCATGGAATGCCCTCCCCTCTTCCTACCATTCCCTCCCCCGCCCCTCTAAATGCTTTACCTCCCCTTCTCCTATGTTACAAATCACCTCTTCTATGAAGCAGAAGGAATTGCTGCCTCCCCCAGGGACCCACAGGACTCTGCTCCATGCCTGGGATGCCAGCGTCATGTTACATTATTAATAGCTCTTTGGCACCCTTCTTGCTCTCAAGACCAGGGGCTGATTCAGCTTTGCGTCTCCAGGGCCCGGCACAGAGCCAGGCACTGGAGAGGCACCTGGCAAGTTGTGCTGAATATATATGAATAACTCAATGTAAAAGAGAACACGGAGCCCCACATTCCTGCCTTCCCTTGAGAGAATATAAGGCTTCCTCTGTTGTTTCCTTCTGAACCCCCAGCGCCAAGAATGGGCCTGGCCCACAGTAGGTGCATGTTAACTATTGGTTGGATGGATGAATGTAATTCATGCTATTTCAAAGAAAACGAAAGGCTTGGAAAGCCCACTTTTAGAGTGAATAGCTCAAGAATAATGACAAACAGAGGTGGCCGCTCCACAGGACCCCCTGAGCTGGTGGCCTTGCCCGTTTAGGATCTGGGCATCCCTGAAAGCTTGGCTTTCCTTGCTACGAGGGAGGCATCTCCCTTCTCAGAGGCTCCTAGCTTCAGCCACATGGGCATAATGAGGAGTTAAAGGTGGCAGGGTAGGGAAAGCGCCTGGACCCCTCAGGTCCAAGGCAGCTGCAGGGACAGATGGTGGTTGTGGCCTTGGGGCTGTCACTCCAGCCGCAAGTCTCACCGGGATGGCGGTGATGAAGAAGTTCCAGGGAAGGAGAGTGCCCAGCCCCAGGATAAAGAAGCTGATCCCGACCAGGTGGTAGCTGTAGGGATCAGTCAGAAGGTCACTCGGAGGACGCAGCACCTCGGCCTCCCCCCGCCCTCCGCCACCCAGGCCGCCCCCTCCGGTGATCAGACTACAACCCCCATCGCTCCGGTTCAGGCAGCCGAGGCAGGCGGCTGATGGGAATTGTAGTTCCATCTGGTCTGCTTTGAGCCTTGGAGCTCCCAAAGGGAGCGGGTCTGCGTTGCTCACGGCCACCCGGATACCCTACGCACCCCATTCGGTCCCCAACTCGCCTGTCCTGCGGAGTGTCTCCTCGTGCCATGGCCGCCCAGCGGGATGTGCCTAGGTGGCAGAGAGGCGGGGTGCCGCACGTGCACCTGCGCGGGGAGGAGGACCAGAGGACTCGGGTGGTCGGGTCTTGCCAGCGGTGGGCGGGGGGGG